CTTTCCCAATTTTTCTCTCAGTCGGGACAAACAACTATTTCCCCAATCGCCGAAGACTGAAAGCTTTGGATATTTTCCCATCTTAAGGTTGTACCGACTTCTTACCTTGGAGAAACCTGTCCTGATTCACCGCTTCTAAGTTCCCACTGGTGGGTAAGGGCGTCTTTCCTCTATCCCAGCCCTCCTTCCCTCCCAGCCACTTTTGGTGGTGCCAGGGAAACTTTCTTCATTCACAGGGACAGTCTCCGCAGGGCTTGAAAATCCAGCCCCTGGGAAGAGTCCACCATTTTCTTTGTGTCCATCCAGCTCTGGGTCCATCCGGCCATCAGGAAGAGGAGGGATTTTTTTTTTTTTTTTTTTTTTTTTTTGCGGTACGCGGGCCTCTCACTGTTGTGGCCTCTCCCATTGCAGAGCACAGGCTCCGGACACGCAGGTTCAGCGGCCATGGCTCACAGGCCCAGCTGCTCCGCAGCATGTGGGATCCTCCCAGACCGGGGCACGAACCCATATCCCCTGCATCGGCAGGCGGACTCTCAACCACTGCGCCACCAGGGAAGCCTGAGGAGGAATTTAAGTGCACGTATCAAGATCACTGTTATCCTGACAACGAATGTCTTTAAACACAGATTATTTTCTCATTTGCTTTAGATCCATCAGGTGCATTCTGGTCATAACAAAAGACAGTGACCTATTTCATATATTTCTATACAACCTAAAGGAAAACGAAAACTAAATTCATTTTCTCTTTCAAGGGAATGTTTATGAACAACTGGTTTTATTTCTCAGTAAAAACACTGGGATTTGGTTTGATTCCGCCTGTACCCACAAAGGTATTTGCAAAGCAAGTTTCCCTGACTTCTTTCTAAAACAAGAAAAAAAAAAAGAAAAAATATTACCTTTGCCAAAGTTCTGGGTTTTGATATATTTGAATGTGCGTCTTGAACTTAATCAGGGATTCTCACTCCAAAAGACCATCCTCCAAGCCTGCTGACAGTAAAGGCAGTGTTAGTGTTTTAACCAGGCAGCACCAGGCCTTCCTAACAGAGGGCCTCCCCCACCCACTGGTCGTAGAAGCCTCAGAACAGCAGCTGCTGAGCCCCCAGGCTCCATGTCGTGGTCTCACAGGGCTCAGCCTGCAGGAGGATGTGGCCTGGCCACTCAGAACTTACCACTGTGTTAGGAAACACATGCCACGTAAGGACACAGCTGTGGTCCCCTGCACCACAGTTATTTTAATTAATTGTTTCTCCTACAAATCAGCTTTTAGAATCACTTAGTCTGTCAGGCTCTTCTGAGTTACTCTGATTTGAATTGTTTTCTCTTCCCTACTCTTGCTTCTTTAATCCTCAGTGCAAACAAGCCCTCCTTCAGGAAGGCATCCCCAGCTTCTTTGATTGGGGTGCATTTCCTTCTCTTTGGGGTTCTCACAATACCCTACATTTCCACTTATTGTGTCAACTTCTACTCTGGGTTTTAACTGTCTTCCTGCTAGCTTATCTCTTATGCAGCTCCGTGAGTCTCTCGCGGGTACCGTGTCAATTGCTACTCTGGCTTTTAACTGTCTTCCTGCTAGTTTGCCTCTTATGCGGCTCCATGAGACTCTCCCGGGTACCCTGTCAATTGCTACTCTGGGTAGGTACTGTCTTCTTGCTAGTTTATCTCTTCTGAGGCTCTGTGAGTCTCTCGTGGGTACAGTGTCAATTGCTACTCTGGGTTTTAACTGTCTTCTCGCTAATTTATCTCTTATGCGTGTCTGTGAGCCTCTAACGGGTGGGAATTACATCTTTTGTCTCCGTATCCCTTGGGCTGTGTAGTATCTGGCACTCATGAAGCTTCTAAAAATATTGGACCTTAGAAATAAAAACACATCTTAAACTTTGTCTCCCAGTCTCTGATAAAAGGAGCTTGAAAAACAAACGTCCACAGTCATGCCCAGACTCTCAGCAGAAATTTTGGGGCACAGGAAGAAGGATGCATTCCCAACCGGCTCCATTTAACTCATCCATCCATTCACTCATTTCAGAGACATTGATTGAGTGTCTTTTGTATGCCAGATACTATTCTAAGTCCTGGCCACACAAACTCCAACCTGCAAAAAGCAGAGATTCTGGGATGTGTTTAAAGACCTGAGGAGTGGGAAGCAGGGGAGATTCAGGCAAAGTTCAGTGGGGACCAGAGATGGTCCAGGAAGGACCAGAGATAAAGAGAGGCTGGGGACAAGGGGGTTGTTTCAGGCACCTCGGACACACCATGCAATGATTTTGCGTTGGGGTCTCAGGAAATTCGATGGAGTGGTGAATGTGATTGCAATTCAAAGCAATGAGAAGCTCATCCCTACCCCCTCAACCTAGATTCACCCTCTTAGGCTCATGGAAGTGCAGCACAGAACAAAAGCTTTCCCCAAAATCGCAGGAGAGGAAGCTTAAGACACCAGGGAGACCATTATTTCATTATGCTGTTAACGTCTCTGGGCTCATTCTCTAAAGCTCTCGAGCTGCGTCTGTCTCCCCAGGTGACTCTCCAAGGATGGGATTCCCCCAGGGCAAGAGAGAAAGTCAGCAGGAGGAATCTGATTAAGGCTTGCAGCATTTCTTTGGAATTCTTATGAGCATCAAAGTTGGTACTAGACTTCTGAGTTTTGAAGAACAACAGCATTTGAAACACTCGTATTTCTGAAGTAATTCTGGGAACAGGAAAGAGCCAGCACCGGTTTCAAACCCACCTTGGTTTTTCCTCCGGTGCCAGCAAATACTCCTCCAGGGGGAGGCTGGAGAGGTTGAGCAGCCTGTGGCCCAGGCGGTTGGTCAGGTAGGGAGCCCTGGTGCTTCCACTGGGGCACATCTGCAATTGTTTCCAAGGACGTCAAGTAGAAGCTTATTCATAACCCACACACAGGTTTACTGACATTAAAGTAAACGTGACTTTCCCTAGCTGTCACATTTTCAATGAATCATCAATGGCTCTTTACATGTCCTTAAATCTCTTTAAGAGTCACCTGTTGAGGGAAACCAGCTCGGTTCTTTGTGGCTGTCTGGAGGGGTGGGATAGGGAGGGTGGGAGGGAGGGAGAGAAAGAGGGAAGAGATATGGGAACATATATATATGTATAACTGACTCACTCTGTTATAAAGCAGAAACTAACACACCATTGTAAAGCAATTATACCCCAATAAAGATGTTAAAAAAAAAAAAAAAAAAAAAGAA